GAGGTGCCGTGCTGCTGCCGTGCCGCGCGCGCGCCGTCCGTCGTGCTGGGGCGGTGCACTCCCGGGGGAGGCGAGGCGCGCGCCACGGTGGTCTCTGGAGGTGCCCCTGGCCCGGCCGGGGCTGTGCCGCGGTTCACCTCGGAGCCTAAGAGACGGGGGTCAATGCAGATGGGGGTCAGCCAGGGCACCGGATCCTGCAGGATCTTGCGAAGACCCCCTCTGGCTGACCCGGGTTAGCGAGCCGATCTTGGCCGCGAGGCGGCCGCGCTTATTGGCTGACCCGGGTTTGCGAAGCCATGCGCTGCAGTTTTTTTTTTTTTTTTTTTTTTTTTTTTTCCTGAATTGCAGTTTTTGGTTTCCTGCTGACCCGGGTCTGGATTGACCCGGGTCAGAAGAGCCCCGATCACCGAGGGAGCCGGCCAGGCGAGCTGGGGGCCAGGCTTGAGTCGGGCGCGTCCCTCGACAGGAGGAGTATTCAGCAATAGCCGGAAAAATAATAGGGGGTCGATGTTTCGATTCTGGTCGGCTATTTTTGGATCGTGTTTGGATTCTGTTTTCTATGGCTTCCGAAATCCGCCTGCAGGAGGACATGCCCGAGCTAAGGCCAGGGCTGCCGTGTTGTGCTGTGCCGCGCCGCGCCGTGGCGCGCTCTTGCGGGCCAGAGGTGCCGTGGGGACTCCTCCCTGCCTCCTCCTCCCGTCCTCCTGTTTCCTCCACCCACCTTCTTCTCCTCCCCTCCACTTTTGGGGAGGCCAGAGGTGCCGTGCCCTCCTCCCCTCCTTCCTCCTCCCGCCCCCCCCGTTCCCCCATGCACCCGCTTCTCTCCTCCACTCGGGGAGGCCAGAGGTGCCGTGGCCTCCCGCCTCCTCTCTTCCATCCTCCCTCCCTCCCTCCGCCCTGCTCCTGCGACTCCTCCCGCCTTCTCCCGTCCTGCCCTCGTCCGCGAGGAGGCCTACGCCCTCCGCGGCATCCCGGAGGAGAGCCCCGGGGAGGGGGGGCCGCGTCCAGGGCAGAAGAGGGCGTCGTTCGGCACTCGCTTGCCCCTGCCTCTCTCCCTCCTCATCTCTTCTCGGACAGTCTCGGGGCCCTCTGGGGCTCTCGGGGCAGTTCAGGGCCGACCTGGGGACTTCTTGGGGCTCTCAGACGCTTGCCCGAGGCGGCTGGAAGCCGAAGGGCACCCTGAAGCAGTGACCACGTATGAACTTGAGTCCCAGCCATCTTAGGGTGTTGGGGTCCTCGTTTTGAAGAGAGCGCCGCGCGTCCCACTCACTCCTTCTCCCCCGCCTCCCTCCTCCCCCTCCCCCTCCCCGCAGGCCTGCCTATGCCCTCCATGCCCATTTTGGTGGCACGCCCCTCATACGCTTCGTGGCCCCACACGGATCTTCACTTGTGAGCCCCAGCGGTTGCGCCCGCATGCCGTCTCCAAACCGTGTCGGTGCACCCATCACACGCCTCGCGGCGCCACAGGGAGCTCCACCCAAAGGGCCCCGCGGTTGCGCGCGCATGCCCTCTCCACACAGATTTCGTGGCCCCGTGGGGGACTCCACCGACGGCGGTATCGACAGCTGCGTTGCCCACAACTGCGTATGCTTGGGTCTTTCGCCGGGCTGAGTGTTTCAAAATATATTTTCGCCTCCGAGGGCCTCGCTGCGAGCCTCTCCGGGCCGCCCAGGAGGGCATCTTGGGGCATCTTGGGGGGTGGCCGTCTTTGGATGGTCGTGCGACCTCTTGTAGCTGTCTTGGACTATAGTGTATGGGGAACGAAGACTGACAGAAACATACAAAACTCGGAGGCCAGCGCGGATTTCTCGGAGCGGCGCTGGACCCCCTGGCGCGCGCGGGCCTCCGAATTTTTATGTTTGTGCCACTTTTCGTCCCCTCCTACAGTCAAAAACCCTAATAAGGACGCGCGACTTTGCTCAGGGTACCCTTGCGTCCTTGCTCTTCCTCGCTCTTGCGTCCTTGAGGTTTTCGTCCTCCGCCGCCCCAAAAATCCCAACTTCGGCTTTCAAGGGTCTTGCGTGCTTACCGCGCGTCCTTATTAGGGTTTTTGATTGTATTTGGAGCTGTATGGACGCCGGCAAGTGTGCTTTCTTGGGCTGTATTGGGGCGCTGTCGGGGCCGTCTTGGGCCGGTTGTGGAGAGCTCGTGGGCGCTCTCGGAAGCCTTCCCAGTGGGGATACGCGGCCGGAAATACAGGAAGCAAGAGTACAGTGGAGACCCATGTCAAGAAGCACCCTGCTTGCCTCCAGGGTGCCCTGGGTTTCTTGGGTTTCGATGGTTTTGCCATGGCGAGCGTGACGTTCCCACTCCAGAAATCGATGGCCGTCCTGGGGTCTCGGGGTTGGGTTTCTTGCGGAAGGTTTCCTGTGGACCAGCCCCCGCAGTGCTGAGGTGATCCAAGCTGTCACAGTTTTGTCATAATTCAGGAGGAGGAGGAGGAGGAGGAGGAGGAGGAGGACAGGAGGGAGGAGGAGGAGGGGACGAGGAGTAGGAAGGGGGGAGGAGGAGGATGGAAGGAGGAGGAAGGAGGAGGAGGAGAGGAGGAGGAGAGAGGAGGAGGAGGAGGAGGAGGAGGAGGGGAGGGGGAGGGGGAGGGGGAGTCCTCTTTGGACGTCTCCTGGAGGCCTCTGGCGCCTCCCGGGTCACCTCGGGAGGATTCTCTGGAGCTTTCCGGGGCTTCTGGGGCAAGCTCTGGACGGTCATGCGGCCTCTTGAAGCCGTTTTAGCCTGTTTTTTTTCGGTTGTCTTGGGATTGCGTGGAAGCCGAAGAGTGCGCTCTTGGGACCGACTTGGGGCGCTCTCGGGCCATCTCGGGTGCTTCTGGGCGCTCTCTGAAGTCTCCCGAGGCGATCCGAAGGCGGGGAACCTCAAAAGCCAAGCACATGGATTCCCCGAAAGGTTTTCATCATCATTCGCCTCTGATGGCCTCGCTGGAGGCCTCTTTGGGGGGAGATCTTGTAGCTTTTGGGACCTCGATGGTCCGTCTTTGGGCGGTCTTGTGGCGTTTTGTAACCATTTTTTGACGGCCTTATGCTCTCCTGGAACCGTCTGAAGGCCGGAATGGACGCCAAATGACAACATCAGGTCGGGGGGACGATTTTCAGAGCACGCGCGCCCAGAGGGGGAGAGGGTTGTCTTTAGAAGCATCATCGATACGAGCATTCTAACACGCCGCAGCGACGGCCATCGTGAGTCACGGGTGAGAGCTGGAGCGTGGCTATTACCAGCATGCTGGTAGCAGCATGATGCGAGGAACGTTGTTCGATTTGCGCCATCAATTCCTTGCAATTCTACCCGAAGCATGCGCTGGCATATACATCCATGGAGGAGCGTGCTCATCTGAAGTATGGGGGACAGCGAAGGCCAGGGGGCACGAGCCACGACAGGTGGACGTGGAGCGGGAGGAAGAGAAACAACTGCACATGATTCAACGACATGCATTACTTACATTTAGACATGTACACCGGTGCATCCGCATGAAAATATTTCACTGCATGTAATCAGGCATAGGGGCATATGCACATGTACACGTATACAGAAATATGCATCGGCGTATGTACTAGTGACCTATATCTAGAGATATGCAGGCGTATGTACTTATATCATGATCCAGCACCAGAGAAACATAACGAGAGAGATAGAGAGACATACATACCTACATATATACATGGAGAGAGAGAGAGAGAGAGAGAGAGAGCTAGAGAAAGAGAGAGCGAGAGAGAGAGAGAGAAAGCAAGAGGCGGGGGATCTCTCTATATAGTATATATATACACACCTATATAGTACACAGAGAACAAACAGAGAAATATATAATCAGAGAGAGAGAGAGAGAGAGAGAGAGAGAGAAAGAGAGAGAGAGAGAGAGAAAGAGAGAGAGAGAGAGAGATAGAGCGGGAGAGAGGCAGAGCGAGAGAATGGGGACGAAGGAGATGCCTGGCGATCCGTGAAAAGCGGCGGAGGAAAGGAAAGGGTGGGAGGGAGGCGAAGATGGGAGGGGGGGGGCGAGGGGGAGGGGGGATGAGGTAAAGGGGGGGGGCCCCCCCCATGAGGAAGTCAAGCCAAGCATCAGAACCCTGCAGCCCACCAGCGTGCCAGGAGGGCGAGGAGGAGGGCGGCGCCTGCCGAGCGCGCCGCGGCAGCTCCCTCCGCGCGGCGGGACCGCCGCGCGCGGCCGGCCGCCCGCGAGGGCGCCTTCCGCGTGCACGCGGTGCTGTGGGAGGCCGTGGACGCTCTGGCGGGGCGCGGGCGCGGGGATGCCCCCTCCTCCCTGGCTCCCTGCCTCCTCCCTTCTCCTCCCCCGACTGCCTCCCTCCTCCCTCTTCCTTCTTCTGCTCTCCTCCTCCTCCTCCTCCTCCTCCTCCTCCTCCTCCTCTCCCCCTCATCCCCTCCGCCCCTCCTCCGCCCTCCTCCTCCTCCTCCCTCGCCCTCATCCCTCCTCCTCTCCGCCTCCTCCTCCTCCTCCTCCCCTCGTCCCCCTCCTCCCTCCTCCTCCTCCTCCTCCTCCTCCTAGCTCCTCCTCCGCCTGTCCTCCTCCTCCCGCCTCCTCCTCCCCTCGCGCCATCCTCTCCTCCTCCTCCTCCCGCCTCCGCCTCCTCCGCCTCCCCTGCCCCTCCTCCTCCTCCTCCGCCGCCTCCTCTGAGGAAGTAAAGCAGAACGTGTTCGGCCCGGGGGCGGGGCGTGTTCGCTCGTTGTGTTATTCTCTTGCTCCAGCTGTGCTCGAAGGTCGTACAATCTTTATTTTCGGCTGGTTGTGGTTCGGGGTGGGTCGTCCCCCTCGGGGCCCGCTCCCCAGAGCCTGAGCCCCAGCTCCCCTGGGCCACCCACCCTTCGGAGGCTTGCTCCGTCCAGGCTTCCCAGGACAGCCCCCCTGGGCCGCGGACATCCTTATTTTCGTCGTGGTTCGTGGTTCGTCGTGGTTCGTCCCCCTCGGCCCCTCCCCTGAGCCTGAGCCTCAGCTCCCCTGGGCCACCCCCCCTTGGGACCTCCCCTCCGTCCAGGCTTTCCAGGGCAGCCCCCCTGGGCCGCGGAACCCTTTATTTTCGTCGTGATTCGTGGCTCGTGGTGGTTCGTCCCCCTCGGCCCCCCCCCGAGCCTGAGCCCCAGCTCCCTTGAGTCACCCACCCTTGTGAGCCTTCTTCCGTCCAGGCTTCCCAGGGCAGCCCCCCTGGGCCGAGGAACCCTCTATCTTCGTCGTGGTTCGTGGTGGTTCGTCCCCCTCGACCCCCCCCTGCGCCTGAGCCCCAGCTCCCCTGGGCCACCCCCCCTTGGGAGCCTTCCTCCGTGACCCCCTCCTGGAAGAAGGAGGCGCGGGCCTCCAGTCCTTCGCAGCTCCTTTGTGCAAGAGCCAGGGCACGCGTGCCACTTGTTTCGTTTCTTTCCCCGCTCATGGCCCCGAGGCTTGGCATACCCAGCAGTTGCACGGGATGGAGGGGGGAGGAGGATGATGATGAGGAGGAGGAGGAGGAGGAGGAGGGGAGGGGGGAGGAGGGAGGAGGAAGGAGGAGGGAGGGAACAAAGGTAGGAGGAGGAGGAGGATGAGGAGGAAAGGAGGAGAAAGAGAAAGGGGGAGGAGAAGGAAGGAGGGAAGGAGGAGGAGGGAGGAGGGAGGAGGAGGAGGAGGAGGAGGAGGAGGAGGAGGACGAGGAGGAGGAGGACGAGGAGGGATGAGGAGGGATGAGGAGGTGGGAGGGAACAGGGGGCTTACGAAAACTGATATGCGTGCAGCTGGCCGTGGTTCCGCCGCCGCGCGCCTCTCCTCGATACGTTGGCCCCTCCTGGCGCCAGAAGGCGCCGGGAGAACCAGCGAGCTGATTCGCTACCCCCCCGGCTGTTTTCAAAGTGTGGTTGTCGCCATAACGTTGCGCACATTCCTCTTTGAAGCTTGCAGCGGTTACGCGGATTGAGGGGGCACGGCATCACCCAAACATGTTAACTCTATGTGTGCGTCTGCACCCCATGGGGCGACGCGCGCCGCGAAATCTGATGGCGTCAGCTCCGTGGCGGGTGTCCTCTGGCCATGGTTCCTGAGGGAGCGCAGGGAGCAACGAAGCAACTGTCAGACCTGCTCACGGGGCGCACGAGTGCACACAGGGATTGCCGGGATGATAGCGCCACGGCTTGTAGCATACAGTCGGGGCGCTGAAGAAAGAACCCTTCTCGTTGGGGAGGGGCTCCGTGTTCTTTCATTGTTTTGCAGCTTGCCTGAGGTTTTCCTTAGGTTTTCGATGGGAAGTCAAAGTTTGACTTATGGAAAAATGGGACCCCGTTCTTTATTTAGGGTTCCTTAGGTCAACGCCTCGACTGTAGTGAGGGTGTGGTGGATGGGGGTGCTCTGCTGCCAGCTTTTATCGGTGCCGGTTTCGTGGGCGAAAAGCATTTCACTATCCGCGGCCTCGCGGGCCGGGCCCCTGGGCCGCGACCCCACGGAGACGGGGCGTCTTTTCGCGGATGGCCCGCGCGAAACGTATCCGTGCGACCGCGTATCCGCGGGATTGCGCCCAGGAATCCAGCCCGCGAGGGAACGTATACGGATATATATATATACACATATAGATTCGCCGCTCGTGATCACTTTGACTGTGCTGTGCTGGTCTCCTGTGTCCTCTCACGGTTTCCCGCGTGCTGCCGCGCCGCAATTGAGCTTCGAGTGAAGCTCCGAGGGAAGGCGCCAGTCAAAGAGCCGCAGAAGCCCTCGGATCTGCAGACTGGAGGGCCATTTGTCGTTTCAGGCCGAGCCACGCTTCTCTTCTCATACGGTCGGACCGAGGTACAAGATCGAGGTCGGTTCTGGGAGGGTACCCTAATGTTCTTCGTGTTTGTTGGATGTTCTTGTGCGTCCTTGGGGAGGCTACCCTCGAACGTTCTTCAGTTTGGCCGGCGGAGGTTCCCATGTTCTTGAAGGGTCTTATTTTTTTCTTTGGTCTAGCCTTTTTTCGTCTGCGGCTGCCCTTTGGAATGAGATCTTCCTTCGATTGCGAGGTGCGTGCGTGAATGCCTGCATCAGAACGTCCAGCTCTGTGATCGCGCGTGCCATCTCTGATGGACTGGCACACTGCGACCACGTGTGCGTGCGATGGTCTCGCAGCTGGCCTGCTGTCATTGCAATTCTTTTCCACCCCTCTTGGTACCATTGTGCGCGGGCGCGCGCAGTCAATGTCCTATTCAGAAGTGCAGTAACCCACCCGTACGGTTTATTCTGCAGGGTCTCATTCTTATATGTCAGAGTGGGCCCAGCGCAACACGGCAAACAAAATGATAGTATACCACAGTTGGCAAGCGTCGAGCAGCCAGAAGCAGCCCGGAACACCCGAACCAAGTCAATTCCCGGCGACCAAGGGCACCTGTAAAAACAACGAACAGGCGGCATCACACAAATCATTGGCGTCCAGGGGCAGCAGGAACAGGCAGGAACCGAGCCAAGAATATCCCCTGCGGCCAAGGGCCAACAACAGACAATATTACCCGAACCGCGTAGTAACCATTCGGTGCAAGCACTGC